AAGTAGGCTTCTGTATAGGAAAACTCAATACCTTAAAGATGTCAATTCTCACCAAATCAATCTATAAATTCAATGCAATTCCAATCAAAAGCCCATATAAAATCATCTGATAGGAAAAATACTCCCAAAGAATAAGAGGATAGGGTGGGTTGAGTATCTGACTTATTTTATGGCATTAATAATTAAGCCAATTTGTGGTAGTTCTGGGACATACAAACTGATCGAGAATACGATCTAGAACCCCAAAATAAACACACTCATATATAGAATGTTAACATGTACCAGAGTTTTCCATACAGATCACTGGGAAAAGAAGGACCATTTATTCAATAAAACATACTGAGATAACTGGTTGTTCATACTGGAGGGAAAAGAAAAATAAAGGAATGCTGTGCTAGTTTTCTATTGCTGTGTAACAAATTACCAAAAATTAGCAGCATGCAACAACATCAAAGTATTACCTTACAGTTTCCACAGGGAAGGAGTCTAGGCATGGGTTAGCTGGATCCTCTTCTCAAGGTTTTTCCAGGGTGAAGTCAACGTGCTGGCCAGGGCTGTGATCTCACTGGAGACTGTGGGACCTCTTCTAAGCTCACTTGCTGTTGGCAGAATTCAATTCCTGTGGTTGTAGAACTGAGGCCTTCAGCTCTTAAAGGCCACCTACTGTTCCTTGTTACATGTGCCTCTCCATAACAGAACAGTGTATATCTTCAAGGCCAACAGGAGAGTGTCTCTTCTGATTATTTTGTTTCTCACTTCTTGACCTTCTTTTAAAGGGCTCCCCTGAATTAGTCAGGCCTAACCAGGTGAATTTTCCTTTTGATTAACTTAAAGTCAACTGATTAGAGACTTTAATTACATCTGCAGTATCCCTTTCCATTTTCCATATAATATAACCTAATCATGGGATTAATATTCCATTATATTCAAAGTTTTGCCCACACTCAAGGGGACAGAATTATGCAGGCCATCTACACCACAGGGTTAGAATCTTGTAAGCCATATTAAAATTATGCCTGCTTTACATACCTACTTCACAGATTCTGTAAAAGTCAATTCCCCAAAAAGTAAAGAGTTGAAAAAAATATCTTTATGACCTTGGATCATAAGCAGTGGAAATGTGCTACTCATAAAATTATAGATTAGCGAATCCTATTCTGGTAAAATTAATAATTTCTTAATATCAAATGATCTAACACAGAGAACAAAAACAAAAAACAAAATGTAAACTTGAAGAAAGTATAGCAACACGTATAATGTAATGGATTAGTATCCATAATATATAAAGGTATAAATGTGATTTCTGCTAGTGACCCAGGCCTAGTAGTGTATTATGAGTGAGTTATAGGTAGAACTAAGACACTGGTCTCTGTATGGCAGAACAGAGCCTTGGCAAACAAAGAAACAAGTAAAAACAAACAAAGAAACTTCCATTGCATGCAGCCTCATCTGTTTACCTCATTGTTTCTTACAAATATTATTCTGTTAAATGTCTGCTATAATGAAAAACTGTTGGGAATCACTGATATAAAGAATTATTTCAATCAATAACAGGCAGACAAGAAGTCCAGGAGAAAAATTGCTAAAATACAAATAGTAGTGTTTAATAGTTGTATCGGTCCGTTTCTGTTGCTTGTAGCAGAATACCTGAAACTGGGTAATAAATAAAGAAAATAAAATTTATTTCTTAAATAAATTTAGTTCTGGAAACTGAAAAGTCCAAGGTCCAGGGGAAACATCTGGTGAGGCCACCTTCTGTTCTGGGACCTCTCTAGAGAGTTCCATGGTAACACAGGCAATCACATAGCAAGAATGGCGTGAGCAAGAAAGCTAAACTGCTCCCTTACTCTCCCTATAAAGCCACGAGAACTAGTCTCTGAAAGTAAAACATCTGGTGAGGCCACCTTCTGTTCTGGGACCTCTCTAGAGAGTTCCATGGTAACACAGGCAATCACATAGCAAGAATGGCATGAACAAGAAAGCTAAACTGCTCCCTTACTCTCCCTATAAAGCCACGAGAACTAGTCTCTGAAAGTTCATTAAACCATTAAGCCATTAATGGATTAATCTATTCACAAGTGCAGATCCCTCACAAACCAATCAACTCCAAAAGGCCCCACCTTTCAAATGCCATAATCGGATTTCCCACCCTTTTAACATTCTTAAAATGATGGCAAGTTTCAATTAGTTTTGGGGAAACATTTAATCCACACTGGTCGTGTTACAGAAAAGACAACATAAATGGCAAATCAATGTATTTTTAAAAATGCAACTCAAGTAGAATTAAAGAAAATGGAAAAAGATCACTTTTTATATCCACTAGATTTACAGAAATAACAAAATCTAGTGTACAGAATTGTGAACATGTAAACTGGTAAAAATTTTAGAAAACCATATTCACAATGTTATTATATGAATTTCTGCTTTTTTATCTACCAAGTATATCACCTACAGATATGCTTGAAAATGTGAACCAGAAGATATTTAATATTGCGTATAACAATGTTGCTTATACTAGGAAAAGAAAATGGGAAGTAAACTGACAGGCAATTATTAATTGAAAATATTTATATTTATGTTTAATTATTTATATTCAATTATTCATTGTAAGTATTTATATCTAAGTAGAACAAAGAAACAATATTTTTTAATTATAACCATGTAAAATGTATAATTTAATGTTCTTTAACATATGTTGTATTTAAACTTGGCTAAAACAATTGCTTTAAATGGATGCCAACATAAAAATATTAAAAAAATAAGAAATAAGCACAATAAAAAATTGACTTTGTCATATAGCTCAAGAAAGCCAGCATAAAAAAGCTTTCATTTTTTGTAATTTTTAAAAAAGTAATGAATAGTTATGAATATTTCTAAAAAGATATCTTCTTCATTTATTCTCTGGTAATATTAGNAAAAAAATAAGAAATAAGCACAATAAAAAATTGACTTTGTCATATAGCTCAAGAAAGCCAGCATAAAAAAGCTTTCATTTTTTGTAATTTTTAAAAAAGTAATGAATAGTTATGAATATTTCTAAAAAGATATCTTCTTCATTTATTCTCTGGTAATATTAGTGACCTCAGGCATTCATTTTCCTTGTGAGGTGATGAATAATACTTTCTTGTAAATTATTTTCTGCTCAAGGCATGATTGGATATAGTACAGTATTTATGTATTTATTTCTGAACTGATTCTTAATTACTGATTCTTAATATTATTCTTTAATATTATAAAGTACCCAATTTAAAAATTACAATTTAACTAAATTTGACTTTTTGCATAGGTGTATAAACAATGTATAAATACATGAGTTTATTTTAGTAAGAAATAATGCTAAACTATATATTATGGTATAATGTATCTCTCAAAGTACTGTGCTTCCAGTTTTGCCAGAACATTTTAATTTGAGGAATTCTGTTACCAAAGGATACACAAAAATAAACCTGATACCATTAAATCTAGTGATCTGGATTCAAATTTAGCTCTAACATTTTTAAAGCTTTATTAATGGAAATAGCACACTCTGTTTCTCCACGTTAACTTTATAAAAAATATATGTAAATGTGTGGAAAACCACTCTCCACCTACATGTACTTTTTATAAATCCTTCTCAAAGTAGATTTGCATTAATCATGCTTGAAATGCTTCAAATAAGAGTATTCTATAAACAGAAGCCTTGCTGTTTCATTGAAAACTTAACACAGAAGGTATCATACAGCAAGTAAAAACAATGTGAAGATAT